CAGAACTCTGTTGTTCTCAAGTTGTGCCTATATCATTATTTACCTCTGTCTCACTTAGCCCATTGAGACCTGTCTAACCTGTTCTCCCATCTGCTTTGTACTTCCATTCCCCTCTCCTTACTTATATACTTCATGATACTTTCAATATCGTCTCCAAAACTAAAACTCAAATGCATCAATTCTTTTACAGTCTTCCTAATTCACTGTATAACTTTCATATGCATATAAGGCTATTGCTTGATTACGTACACCTTAGTTTCCAAACTTGTATCTTCACTCTTGAATACTTTAAAGAAGTCTTTCACTATAGATTTGCCCAATGCCACACATCGTTTTATCTCTTGACTACTGCTTCCTCTAAAGTTGATTGTGGGTCCAAGCAAAGTGAAGTCTCTAATTATCATGGTGTTGTTGATAGGTCCATTTGTGAGGATTTTTGTTTTCTTTACATTGAGGTGCAATCTATACTAAAGACTGTAACCTTCATTTTTCATTAGTAAGTATTTTAAGTCCTCTTCACTGACAGCAAAAAAGGTTGTAACATTTGCATATTGCAAGTTGTTAATGAATCTGACTCCAATCCTGATGCCACATTCTTCTTCATAAAATCCAGATTCTCATATTATTTGCTCAGCATACAGATTGAATAAGTATGGTAAAAGGATGCAACTATGGTACACACCTTTCCTGATTTTAAACCATACTGTATCTCTTGTTCTGTTCAAACAACTGCCTCTTAGTCTGTGTACAAATTCCTCATGAGCACAACTAAGGGTTCTGGAATCACCATTCTTCACAACGTTATACACAGCTTGTCATGATCCAAACAGTTGAAAGCCTTTGCATGGTCATTAAAGTACAAGTAAACATCTTTCTGATATTCTCTGCTTTCAGCCAAAATCTATCTTACATCAGCAGTAATATCTCTAGTTCCATGTCTATTACTAAATCCAGCTTGAGTTTCTGGCAGTTCCCTGTGGATGTTGCAGCCATTTTTAATTATCTGCAACAAAATTTCACTTGCATGTGAAAATAATATTTGATGAATTTCCACATTCCACTGGGTCACCTCTCTTTGGAATGGACACAACCTGTTGGACAGGTAGCTGTCTTCCAAATTTCTTGACATAGATAAGTGAGTGCCTCCAGAGCTGTGTCAGTTGGTTGAAAGATTTCAATTCCTGGAGCTTTGATTTTTTTTTTTTTTTTTACAATATCTTCAGTGTATCTTGGAGTTCTTGTTTCAGTACCATCACTTCTTAATTGTATGCTACCTCTTGAAATGGATGAACAGTGGCCATTTCTTTTTGATGGAGTGAATCTGTGCATTCTTTCCATCTTCTTTTGATATTGAGTTTTCCACCTTCTCTTCCCAGTCAATTTGATCCCTGTGTATTCTATCTGATGTGATCCATGTGTATAATTGCCTTTTTGTTGTTTAAAAAAGGTATTTTTAGTGAATAATTCATTGGTTTTGTGAAATTCTATTATGTAGTCTCTAGCATCATTTCTATCACCAAGGCCATATTTTCCAACTACAGAACCTTCCTCTTTGTTTCCAACCTTTGCATTCCAATCACTAGTAATTAGCAAAGCATCTTGATAACATGTCTGATCAGTTTCAGACTGAATAAATTGGTAGAATTCTTCAATTTCATCATTACTGACTTTAGTGGTTAGTGCATTAAATTTGAATAATATTGGTATTAACTTGCCTTCCTTGTAGGCATAAGGATATTGTCCTATCACAGACAACATTGTACTTCAAGATAGACCTTCAAATATTCTTGATAATGAAAGCTATGCTATTCCTTTTGAAACGGTCATCCCTGGCAGAGTAGACCATATGATTGTCAAATTCAAAATGCCTAGTACCAGTCCACTGCAGTTAACTAATGCCTAGGAAATTGGTGTTTATGTGTTCCATTTCCTTTTTTGATGGTTTTCAACTTTTCTAGATTCATACTTCATAAAATCCATGTTCAGATTTTTAATGGCTCTTTGCAGCTGTTTCTCCTCATTTTGAGTTGTGCCCCATCAACAAATGAATGTCCCTAAAGGTTTACTCCAACAGTATCATCATGGTCAACTCTATTTTGAGGAGGCAATTTTTCCTAAGTCATATTTTGTGTGCCTTCCAACCTGAGGGGCTCATCTTCTGGCACTATATCTGAGAATATTCTGGAGCTATTCATAATGTTTTCATCTCTGGCATGATACCTGACAATATTCCACAGGTGTTCATAAGGTTTTCAAGGGCTAAACATTCAAAGGTTGTTCAAATCTCCTTCTTTCTAGTCTGTCTTAGTCTGGGAGCTCCAGTGAAACCTGCCCACCATGGATGACCTTCCAGTACCACAGAAACACACAAGTCCACATAATACAAAACAACTGATAAATGAGGGCTCACTTAGGTTTTTCTTAAAAAGTGTTCAGTTATGTGTTTCTAAAATAATACTTTGAAAAGTTTGAGAAGGGAAGCAGAGAAGACCTGTTTTTGTAACAAACTGTAGCAATTGCTGAGATTTTGTAACCTATGCCTTCTTGAGATAAGTCTTAAATGACACAATGATCCACTCTTTATAAATAGATAGTAAAAGAGAATTATAATTCAAATACTAACAAATGTAGAATGCCTACTGTAATGCCTTTTTTTCCTTTGTTACTGCCCTAGAACCCAATCATAACTACTATGCTGTTAAATATTTAAATACTACATTTCCTCCATATAAAAAATATAAAACTCCTCCACATTGACACCACGATCACCCAAAAAGAGCTGCTTTTGATGGTATAATCAATATAATCTTAAACTTGGGGAAGGCAAATTAAAACTTATGGCAAAAAACCTGTCCAAAACTACAGGTTGCTGCCTATAAAAAGAGTGTGGAGGTGACCTCTGAACTTGTCTGGCTTCACAATGAAGAGAATCAAACTCATCAGTCCAAGGCTGATTCAAAGAGACAAAGGACAGACATATATCTACCGTCTTTCCTTCTTACCAATTCTGAGACCAGCCATCCCTTCCACCGTATTCTGCTTCTCTGCTTGCTTCAATAATTCATCGCAATGTTCACACAGAACTCAGACAATACTCATGATTATGAGTGTTATTAGGGAAGTTGGCAAGTTACAATTCCGAAACATAAATGCTCTGGATACAGTCCTTTGGTCAGGACAGCATCTTCTCAGTTATGCCCCATAGAAGGCCTCTCTTTAGTCTGCAGACTGAGTTGAGTGAACTCTTGGCTTTTGCCCTGCTCAGGCAATGCTCCAACATTCTTTCAGTGCTGCTAATTAATGCCAAATGGGCACACCACCTTGCCATAAGCCTCAGTCAGAAGGTGCTTAGCTATAGCTCCAGTGGTCAGTAACTTAACTCCACCAATTCAGTGCCTGGAGGCATGCCACTCCACATGCAAGCTTCTTGCATGGAGACACTCAGCTTTATTTGCTCCATGGACCAGGATGCCCACCAAGCTATTTTGTACTCTGACTCTGGATTCTGCTACTACTGCTTCTCAGCCACTCCTCTGCAGCTTCTCTGGCATCACAACTTTATTCACTGAATAAAGGAGGTTCAATGCACAGGGATCTCATATTCCAAAGGATGTGCTTCACTCTTCTTTCTTGAGAATAGTAAGATTTCCCTTTTTGCCACCAAAATGGCACATTTTTTATCCAGCAGGAATATGAATCCTTACATTAGAGTTCTAGGCTTTTATAATCACAATTAGCCCTGTTAACAATCACCTACAACTGAATCATATAATCCTATAAGCATCATCCCCTGTATTTTCTTACCCAGACCCATCAGGAAAAAGTCATTTGGCAGGAGCTCCAAAACCTATGGCTAGAAGAGCCATATCAAGTAGTCCACCATACCACACCCACCAAACTTGACCCACTGCCAGAGTATGGTGACCAACCTTCCCAGCTGAGAATGTTTGAAGTGTTTTCCATGGTGAGGGGCTTTCAGGGCTAAAACTGAAATGCTATCAGCTGGTTGCCTCACAGTTAGTTGCCTAAGAGGGTAATGCTAATGGTTTGTTACTCTAGTAAATCGACTGCCTGAGTTTCCTTCAGAGAAGGAGCTGACACCGAAAGCAGAAACACTGTCAGCATGTTCTTGACGTGGTATACTGTGACCTGGTCCTCAGGAAAATATCCACCTCAGCTGTGGATGGAAATAGAGCCCAAAGGGAGGTGAAACCAGCACCCAAAGCTCCCACAACACCTCCTATAATGATTCTTCCTCTATTCCTTTGCTCCCCTTTTCAGTATAAACTTTAAATTGTGTATACTCATGGTCCAGGTCCTTTCCATATTCTTTCTTCAACCCACTCCAGTCAGGCTTTGCCCTCATTCCTCCACCAAATGTGTCTTTGTCAACAATACAAAGGCCTCCAAACTGCTACCTTCAACAGTCATGTCCTCATCCTCATTTGACTTGAGCAGCATTTGAAACAGTGGTCATTCCCATGCCCTTGAAAGAAGCTTCACTTGACTTCCACAACACCAGGCTCTTTTGGTTTTCCTCCTACTTGCCTGACACTTTCCCAGCCCCCATGACAGACTTCTCTGTATCCCTCCCACCTCTCAAATGACTGAGCACCAGGACTCTCCCCTCTGACTTTTCTGTTCTTTGTCACTTCTCTCTCCCTTCATGACTGCAACCAGTTTCAAGACTTCAAATATAATCTGTGCACTAACAAGCTCCAAATTTACATAGCCAGCTGAGAAGTTTTACCTTAACCCCAAACTGGTGTGGCCTACAGTCCTTTGACAGTACCACTTGAATGTTAATTAATATGCCTCAAATCAACATTCTGATCTTCCCTCCTCCAACACAAAGCCATCACAATCTTTACCTACCTTTGTTGTTGTTGTTGTTATGTGCCATGGAGTCGGTTCCGACTCATAGCGACCCTGTACAGGGTTTCCGAGGCTGTAAATGTTTACGGGAGCAGAAAGCCTCATCTTTCTCCCGCAGAACAGCTGGTAGTTTCGAACTGCTGACCTTGTGGTTCACAGCCCGATTCGTAACCACTCCGCTACCAGAGCTCCTTTTCCTACCTTAGTAAATGGTTAGTCATGCTTTCAGTTGCTAAGCCCTAAACACTTAGAGTTGTCCTTTGCTCCTTTCTTTCTCTTATAACCTACATTATATTTATCAATCCTATTGGGCCTATCTACTTACCTCCATTACTGGTCCAAGTCACAATCATCTGCTGTTTAGATGAATGCATAGATATCCTTACTGGTCTCCCAGTCACCTCTAGTCCCATTACTCTGTGCTCAGCACAACAGCCAAAGAGAACACTTAAACACTTTATTCAAATCTGGTCAATCCTCTACCTAGGACATCCCAATGATCACATCATTCTGAATAAAACTCAAATAATATAAAACTATTTCTGAGCATTAAATTTAGAAAGTTGATCTATAAATCTTTTATTGTAACAAATAAAAATGCTTTCTTGTAGCCACACTTCTTCCGCTCATGGTGTATGCATGCCTAAATATTGTTTCCAGAGCCTTCTTTATATTTCAACCCATCTTTTGAGTGAATCTAACTATATCAAATCCAGCCTCTAACAATTTGTTGTTTAGAAAAAGGATTTTTTTTTTTTTTTAATTTGGCCATTATGTCTCTAGAGACTAGATTTCAAACTTTTGTTTAGGTACTTACTTTTAAAAACCTGGCACCATAAGAAGACTCTACAACAAAGCATATTTAAAAGATATTAGTTCAATCAGCAGCAAAAAAATCATTTTGTTCAGTGCCTATTTTAGTTCTACAGTCAAAGGGACGGGAACCAATTACCGACTCAAAACAAGACTATAACCTATGCGAAGAAATTATTTGAAATGAATAATCAATTTCCATAATACCATGCTATTTTTTTATTGTTGACAGTACACAAGCAAAATATACATCAATTCAACAATGTCTACACATTCAATTCAGTGTCACTGATTAGAGTCTTCAAGTTGTAAAACCAATCTCACCCTCTTTTTCAAATTCCCCATTGACATCAACTCATTGCCTCCTAAATTTCCTCTATCATCTTTAGAGTTGCTGATTTCTATCTGATCCAGTATCGATAGTTCTTCAAAAGAGCATGATGATAAACATTATATGAGTTTATCATTGTAAAAAGTAAAAAAAAAAAAGTTTTCACACTAGAAGAAACTTTTTTTTATAGTTACCAGAGGTACCTAGGGAAAGAGACCTTGTGTGAAGGGGAAAGTAATATACAGTAACAGGGAGATTGACAAAAATGATGGAGACAGAGGAAGACATGGGGAAGAAAGCAAATGTTAAAGGCAACAGAGGTAAATACTATTATATACACAGCCCTGCAACAACAGTGATCTATTAGTAGATGCATGGATACACACTCGGGCTGAAAGGGAATAAAAAGGAAAGTGGGATTATCCCCACACATTTATATAGGCTTGACAAAGAATATCTGTACATGGGTATTTACCTTTGCTGCAAATATATCCATGAATGTGGTAGAAAATACAATGGTCAAAGTTATGAAAACTTCTTATATATAACCAAACATTTTGCGGGAGGGTGTGGCACTGTGGGTTAATGCACTGCACTGACAAGTCAGTTTGAACTGCAAGGTCGAAAGTTTAAGCTCACTAGCAACTCCTCGGAAACCCTATACAGGGTTGGTATGGGTAGGAACCGACACAACGGCACACAGCAACAACAACAATCTCTAGGCCTAAGGGCTCAGGACTATAGTATCTGGGGACACATGGTCAACTAGCATAACATAGTCCACAAAGATTATACACTACATTGGTTAATAACAACTGGGATCTTAAAGGCTTATGAGTGTCCATCTAAGGTATAACTATTGGTGTCTTCCTGTTTGCAGGAAAGAAAAGTTATGAAACTGTAAGTCATATGGCATCAGTCTGCATGACCCTGAGGTCCAGATGCCACTATCAATTGTTCTGATAGGGATCAAGTTATAGAAGGTCCTAGACAAAGTGGGAGAAAATGTGAAAAAGAACAAAAAAACCATCTTAAAAAGCAGGCATACTGGTCAGATAGAGACTGGTGGAACCCCAAGTCTATGGCCAGTGGCCACCTTTCAGGTCTGGAAATGAACTCACCCCCATGGCTCAGTTTTCAGCCACGCAATAGATAGGTATATAGACAGAACAACAACACTAGTGAGGTACACACATTAGAATGGTCAACCATTCAAGATCTAAAGGGCAGCATTTCCCCAAGGATGAAGAGCAAAAGCATTGGGCAAGAAGGAGAAATGCAAACAAGAAACACAGGGAGGAGATGGGTAAGGAATATTACATTAAGGGGATTGCAATTGTTGAGCTGAAACAAAGTGTAGGATTTGTTCAATGTAAAACTAATGATCTGCTCTGTAAACCTGTACTCATTTCACAATAAATACAATAAAAGTCTTTAAAAAAAAAAAAAAAGGCAACGCAAACATTCTATACTTACTATTTGGTCTAAAGAAGACTCAAGGAGACATTTTTTGTTTTAAGGTTCAAAGATTATCTCAGGGAAACAGTTATTGGAGTACATCTAGCCTGAATGGCTCCAAGTCTGTGTTCCATGAGAATATGGAATTCTGTTTCACATTTTTCCCATTTTGCAAAACACATTGTTTTTATTTAAACCTCAGATAATGACTTCACTGGAAAAAGAAATTTCAATAATTTGCCAGAGGACCTCATAATACCTAATACCAGAGTTTCAGCATTCACTGTTTGACATTACTCTGGTCATTTGCTAGTGCACGTAGGGTTAACTGTGAAATCATCCATAAGAAAGGGTAAGACCCTGTATGACTATATTGGACAAAGATGCTGTTTTCGCTCGTAGAGATGCCATACAAGATCATCTCCTGTAAGAAGCTCATTCTTCGTTTTTCTCATATACTGTAGGATAAGCACTGGGCTGTGAACCACAAGGTTGGCAGTTCAAACCCACTAGCTACTCCTTAGATACTCTGTACAGGATTGCTAGGAGTCAAAATCAACTCAATAGCTTTTAACAACAACAACATATACCATGAAAAGAAAAAGAAAAATGATAAAAAGAAAATTTTGCGTTGGGTTGCCAGGTTTAGCAAATAAAACTAAAGGATGTCTAAGTAAATTTGATTTTAGGTCAAGCCAATCTTTTTGTTGTTGTATACAATATTTTGGGGGGAAAACTTATATGAAACAAAAATTTAATGTTTAGTTATCTAAAGTTCAAATTTAACTGTATGTCCTATGTTTTATCTGGCAGCCTTAGTAGGGTGAGTGTTAATAAAAAGAAAAAAGAAAGCAAAGCAGGCCTTTGTTGATAAAAGAAGTTGGCAGTAGCCAAGGGCTGACCTTTTGAATACAAACCTCTTGCTTCCTCCATCTGAGTTTCAAGCTGCTCCATCTATACACTGAGCTCCCTATGCGTAATTCTGTTCTAACTTTTGCTGCAGTAAATTTAGAAACAGGAGCCTCCCAGAATGAGCATTCGTTATTGGGAACAGAAATAACTTTTTTTTTAGGGAATAACTGACCTCAATCATACAAAAGCAATCAAAACTAGCTCTTCATTGAAGAGAAAAGTTTGAGTAGTATAAAAAGATCAATCAAAGTCAACAAAGAAGAGAAATGGAATCACAATGTGTATGTGTGGGCTTGGAGAGGTAAGGGAAACACAAAAAAATAGAGAAAAGAAAGTGAGAAATAAAAATACCAACAGCAGAAAAAGACGAAGACAGGGAAAGTGGAGAGGGAGTAGATGAGTGGATAGGGCAAGGAAAGATTGCAGCATCCTCTTAAGAATTGTAGTTTTTAAGAATTGTAGTTTATGTATTGTACAAGATTCCTTCCCAGGGTCTCACAAGACCCTCCACAAGCCTTGATACTGCCTCTTATCCACCAGAGTGTATCTTTCTCTAAGGCACACAAAAGCAGCATTAAAGAGTAGAAGCCTAAAACTAGGATTTTAAAGATTCTGGTTTTCACAGCCTCCCTGGTGTCTTTGCTGAAGTGTTTGCCAGCATGAACAGTATCAGTTATGAGAGATTTACTTGCCTGGACTCTTAGATCTCTGTATCCAAATTTTTTGTAAGTTCTTTGCCTTTTCCATTATTTCATACATGTCCTTAGCAAAGTCCTGTACAGATTTTAAAAAGGCCAGGTTGTCAACCTCCTTCTTGTCATATTCAGCTGCAGTTTGGAACCTAGGCAACCTTGAGAAAAATAAAATAAATACCACAAATCAAACTCTATTAAGAGAATAAATTGCCTCAACATTTTTAAGTTTCTTGATTCTAATATCAAGTCATTTGAAACTAAAGTTGACCAGTTTATACATTCACCAACTGTCCATGGGACCATTTCACTTGAACATCACCCCAAATGGAAATTATCATAAAATTTCGGCCAATCCAAAACAAGAAAAATGTACTCGTTCGTTTTATCATCTGTAAAAGAATAACCATTTTACACATTGATTGATCATTTGATTATCTTTGTTAATTCAACATATATTACACCTTATGCACTGTGCAAGATGCCACACACCACTACCCTCCTCCCCCATGGTGCAAATGGTTAATATCCTTGGCTACTAATAGAAATGTTGATAGTTCAAGTCCACTTACAGGGTTCTCAAAAGAAAGGTGATCTACATCTTAAAAGACACAGCCATTCGGTACATAATTCTACTCTGAAATACACAAGTCACCATAAGTCAGAAATAGCTAAACAGCAACTGACTAATTGTGCTAGCTGCTGGAGATAAATATATAAGCAAATAGAGCAGATGCAATCCTTGTATGTGAAGGAAACAGGAAATAACTAAACAGATATTATTATATATTAAATATTCTTCAAAAGCACCATAATACAAAGACACCAATGCATCTACACTTTTCCTTACTCATTGTCTAGCCTTTAGTGTTGTTGTTGTTAAGTGCCATTGAGTTGATTCCGACCCATAGCAACCCTGTATAGGGTTTCCAAGGAGCAGCTGGTGAGCTTGAACCACCAACCTTGCAGGGCAAACGACTTTGCAGTCTGATACATTACCCCACAGTGCCACACCTGGACTCCTTACATGTCCTCAAAATGATATTTTTGCTTTTTAACACTTTAACAGGTCTTTTACAACAAATTTTCCCAATGCAAAATATCATTTGATTTATTGGCTGCTGCTTCCATGGAGAGTGATAGTGAATCCAAGTAAAATGAAATCCTTGATAACTTGATTATTTTCTCTATCATGTTTTTGCTCACTGGTCCAGTTGTGAGGATTATTGCTTTCTTTATATTGAGGAATAATCCATATTGAAGGCTGTAATCTGTGATCTTTATCATTAAGTGCTTCAAGTCTTCTTGGCTTTCAACAAGCAAGACTGTGTTATCTGCATATTGTAGGTTCTTCTTCTGTTTCAGCTTCTCAGATTACTTGCTCAGCATACAAATAAAAAATGTGTGGTTAAAGAAAGAAAAAAAAGTATGGTGAAGGATACAATCCTAATACACACGTTTTCCAAACTTCACACCATACTGTACCCCTTGTTCTTGTTCTATGTACAGGTTCTGCATGAACACAGAATTTCCATTCTTCTCACCATTTTCCAAATTTTGCTGTGATCTACACTGTTGAATGTCTTTGCACATTTAATAAAACACAGGTAAGCATCTTTCTGTATTCTCTACTTTTGGTCAACATCCATATAACATCATCAATGATAATCCTTCATTTCTTAATCCAACTTGAATTTCTGGCAGTTTGGTGTACTGCTACAACTGTTTTTGAATTCTCTTCAATACAATTTTAATTACTTTTGACATTAATTGTTCAAATATGTCAGCATTATTTGGGGTCACCTTTCTTTGGAAGAGGCATATATATGAATCTCCTCCAGTCAGTTGGCCAGGTAGCTGTCTTCCAAATTTCTTGGCATAGACCAGTGAGTGCTTTCAGCATTGCACCTGTTTGCTAAAATATCTTTATTGGTATTCTGTAAATTCCATGTTTTTCCCCAATGTCTCCAGTGCAACTCAGACTTCTTCCTTCAACACCAGCAGTACTTGATCATATGCTACCTCCTGAAATTGTTGAACATTAACATAAAATTGTTGAAGCAACCTTGTGCATTACTTCTGTATTCTTTGATGGCTTTTATCATTAAAAAAATTGTACATTGTTCTTGTTAAGAGTTTTTTGTCTCCTAGAATCCCTGTATAGGGTTCCTGAGGCTGTAAATCTTTGCAGGGACAGAAAGCCTCATTTTTCTCCTGTGGAGAGACTGGTGGGCTCAAACCACTGACCTTGTGGTTTGAGTCCACTGTTTATCCTACAGACACACCACACTTCCATAGAAGTTTACCCATAAAATCATTTATTATCTCATTTCAAAGCTTGATTTATTACTTCAGTTCTTTCAGCTTGAGAAATACTGAGTGTGTTTGAACATTTCATTATACTTTATTTTGTCTTCTCAAACTGCCCTTTGAAATCTTCTGTTCAGTTCTATTGCTTCATTATTTCTTCCTAATCTATATTCAAGAGTAAGATGTTCCTATATCCAATTTGGTCTTTTTTTCCCTTACATGTCTGTCTTTTATAATATCTTCATTTATAATATTCTTAACATCATTCCACAACTAAATTCATGGAAGCATCAGTCAAGAAATCAGATCATGTACTGCAATGGGCAAATCTGCTGCAAAAGACCTCTTTAAAGTATTTAAAAGCAAAGATGTCACTTTGAGCTATTATGGTCTGTAAATTCTATAGTGCATAATGTGGCTATGAGTCAAAACCAACTTGACAGCACCTAACAACAGTAAATTCAAACAAGATATATTTAAGGCTATACTTTGGTTCTTTTTGACTTGTTTTATATTTTTTTCATCTTAAACTTGAACTTACATATGAGCAATTGATGATATCTTCCACAATCAGCCCTTAGTCTTTTTCTGAGTAATGATACTGAGTTTCTTCATTGTGTCTTTCTACAACTTGATCCCATTGTAGTTCATCTGGCAAGATTCACTTTCTTTAGTTGAAAAAAGATATTCCCAAAACTCTTGCAAACTTTTACTATGCAATCCACAGTCTCATTTCTTTCACCACGTCCTTGTCTACATCTGGCTTGAGACTCTGGCAGTTGCTTGTTAATGTACTGTTGCTGGAGTTTTTGAAAATTTTATTTGCCTGTGATTTTTTTTTTATGTTTTATTGTGAATTATATGATAGTTTACATGGGAGAACATTAGTTTTACATTCATCCTAGCCTATACCGTTTCATTGCTATGGTTACAATCCCCTCCACATCAGCTAACCAAAGGGTATACACTAAAGCCTGCCACCCCAGTCATCAGCACACAGTCCCTCTCCCTCTCTGGTTCTAAAGTCCACAACTGTTCCATCTCTCCATGTCTTCACCTCTGCCTCCATCTCAGGCATCACTGTTTCTCTGGGTAGGGTCCCACTCTCCACTCTTCTCCCTTGATGGTCCCAGGGACCTCCGCTCCTAGGCTGAAGAGTTAATCACTCCCCTCCTTGCTACAAAACATCTATCTTTACATTTCCAACCCTCACAATCAGTCCTGATAACAATTATTCACTATTGTATCACAAGGGACCCATCTGCATTTCATTTCATCAGCCCCACCTAGACAGATTGGATACTACTCAGTGGAGATTCTACCTTCCTTCATGCCCTCTGGATCTAGGTCCCCTCTTGAAAGCTTGTAAGCCAGTCACGTCTTGCCTTTCCAGCCCCCTCATTTTGGGTAGCCAATGTCCAAGTTGACCATCCCTGTCAACTCTGTGTATGGAGGGAGTGGGAATGATTCTTGCTGTAAAGATTTATTTTCTATTTGGGCTACTGCATCCATAGGTGTAGGTCAAGTTCATCAAATTGTATCAGATTACACTTTTTTTTCCTCTTCTTTCTTCTTCTGGTTGAGCTCTGATCATCCAGTCATTAAAGCCAGGTCAAGTGGGTATTATCTGCAAGTGTGGGTGTTCTTGTGCATATGCCCTCTCTTCTTAACAGCTGGTTGTTTCACTCTCCACTCTAGTCCTCTGTGGCCCAAGAGTCCCCAGGTCTTGCCACACACTGCTGGCTAACCAAGTCTCCACCCAGGTTCACAGAAGTCTATTAAACATTGTAGGGCTTAGCTTGCCGCTTCATTGCTGTCTTTCCCTCACTTCCCCTTCTCAGTGACGAGCATGGTCACCAATCAGAGCATGTATTCCCGTTGAGTCTTAGTCTTGGAAGGGGGATTGCACTGAAGGAACCCGACCACTTACCTTGATGTCTCCTGGGCAAACAACTTGTTTGTTCTTGTAGTAACAGTTGGTCTGCCTATGTTGTTTTGTATTTTTCCTGTAGGTCTTTCTTTCAAAAAGTATCTTCTGTTTTTCTAGCCACTCCAGGCTGGTATGCTCATCCTTTCAAGTGGAAATTTCCTATCTCTGAAGATCTGGATGTGGTTCAGGCTCTCACCTATTATTGTCTTATATAATGCAGAGGCTCCTTGTCTGTGATTTTAATGACATTGCTGTATGATTTCTGCTTTCTAATGAATCACCACCACTCTTTGGAATGGGCACAAATATGGATTTCTTCCAATCAGTTGGCCAGGTGGCTTAAGTACCACACAAGGACTTCTGTGCATCAGTGAGCTAAAATGGACTGGTCTTGACCATTTAGAAGCTGTATCATATGGTTTACTATGTGGAAAAAGAAAATTGAAGAGGAATGGCGTCACATATTTCAAGATCTAGCTTCAAGTATATTACTATGTGCTGCAATGTAGACCAGTAAATACCACTATTATTCAAATGTATGCACCAAACACTAAAGACAATAATGATGAAATGAAAGACTTCTACCAAATTCTTCAGTCTGAAATTAGTCAAACATGTAATCAAGATGTATGGATAATTGCTGGTGATTGGAATACAAATGTTGGAAACAAAGAGTAAGGATCAGTAGTTAGAAAATATGGCCTTGGTGATAGAAATCATGCTGGAGATGACATGATAGAAAATTTTCAAAACCAATGACTTCTTCATTGCAAATACCTTTTTTTAACAACATAAAAGATGACTATACACATGCACCTTACCAGATGGAATACACAGAAACCAAGTTGACTATATCTACGGAAAGAGGTAGTTGAAAAACTCCGTATCATCATCCAAAACAAGGCCAGGGGCAAACTG